TTATTCGACACGGGCCGTATTATTGAACAACACAACGTACAAGAGAAAGACACTGAAAAGAAAATGAGATACTCGGCCCTAGGTCCATTACTCGGCTGATGATTTAGTTATTAGCCGTTTCAGCTCTCCGCAACTTTTTCTTTCCAGATTCAAAAATTTCCCCGTCCACATGTAGCAAAAATATCCGGATTCGCTGCCGAATTCGCCGGATGCTGCGTGTGGACGGAAGCCGTATCCGGAAAGAAAACGTTGCGGATTCAAAAATGTCCGGATAGGTGTGGACGGGGCCTTACCAGATTTCTCGCATATCACTTGTGTGCAGCATCTGCCTTGCTTCTGTCGAGGTGGTGTCTTCATGCAACAGTCGTTGAAGACAGTATTTTGTATTTCCAAAGTTATTGTCAAAGTCCACAGCCTGGAGAAAGAAACGAAAACAATAGAAAGAACTATTACAACTAAAAAAAAGGAGATATTTACACAAGTGAATTATTTCGTAATTTTTTCAAATACTCACGACATTTGATTTTACCATTTACCACAAAGGGAGGCAGAAGTTAACGCGATTGCTGCATCTATCCACAAAATATCTCGGTCCATAACTTAGTTACCTTTAATGTTCACTTTTCCAAGAATTTTACCTGACTCAAAGTTCATCGTTTTTGACGCCATTTTGGATGTTTGACTGAATTCGACATAATTTGGAAAGCCGAGAGCGTGTTAAGCAGACAATGAAATTCACTCGCCAATGTGCACAGACAACAGTCCTAAGACAAATCTGTTTCTGTCTCAAGTGGACCAATTCCAATATTCACTGTATCTGTTATGAACAGCATAATGCCGTTTGTTGTCTTTAAAGATTTTCCCAGGATGAATAGGAGAGTCAAAAAACTGAAGTAATCGACAAGATTGACTTTTCCTGAAAGTTTTAAAACAATTGAATGTTCGATTTGATTGTTACTTACCAGTTTAATGTACTCTGTTATAACTTGAGTAGCGGGCAAGCGGCCCTCTTTCCTACGAAGGAAAACGGAGTAAATATGAATTTCTGGAACTGTGTAAAAAGTGGTTCAGTAAGTTAGACTCCCCAATAAACGTTTTAGTGTGGACTGCTCAGGGTCCAGCAAAGCAAAACAGTATTCGTGCTCACCATGGAACAATATGTTATGACTTACTCTATAATTCATCACAGAATCACAAAAATAAAACAGCAACCCGACTTCAACAACAATATGAACGTTTAGTCTTAAAGGGATTAATTTGTCAGGCAACTTTACCTGAAAACTGACGGATTCCACTGCGCTGCTCTCGCCAGCATCACAGAAGAACAGCCTGTCTCTTGTCGACATTTTTCAATGTCGTCGAATGTTTTCACCATCAAAGAGACGCCATTGGCAATCACAGGTATAGAGACGGCCTTTGCAACTTCTAGTATCACGTTCGTGTGCACTGGATCTCGGGACCGCTCGTGCTTTTCTCTGCACAACATTAAATTTTGATCGTAAGTAACACGCACTCTGTTTGTTTGGAACTAAATGCGCTAGTAATTAATTAATACAATGGGTCCGAATGGCATACTATGAAACACATGTATTCCAAGAGGGACGTAATACTTCAGTGTGCGAGTCTTTAGGCAAGTGTGCACACAAAGAAAAATCAAGTCATGAATAGGATATACACAGAACATCGCATAACCAAACATTTTAACCCATATGCCTTCTTAATGTACATAGAGATAGGTAATTAACGGGCAAAGTACAAAAAGACGCAGCTTTGACTGAAAATACAGCAAAAACTTGTAAAGATTTGAACTTCACCGTATCCGGTTCAGATTCAGGCTTCTGTGTGCTTTTAGAATATACCACCATAAAAGAATGACATAAACAAGTCAGTTGTCATCTACTAGCTGAGGCAATTGTAAATTCAAAGCTGTTTCGTTCACTATTCTCGAGTTTTCGGTTGCTGTTTGGCAAATTCCCTCTCTCGTAAGGTTTCATTTAACAAATAGAAAGTTGAATTGTGTTAATCGTTTATTTCAAGTTTTCTCGCACAATCTGAATCGAACTGATGAAAAATAATCGCTGGTCTTGGCGAGGGCTGGAGGCCGTGCTGAATGTCGGGAAACTTTCGTGAAAACAATTCGAGAAATACCGCAGAATATCCAACGACTTTTTAGCCTCCTGATTGGCTGTATTTTCTGAGGCATGAGATAACCGTGATAATGACATATCGTTGCATTTTGCATGCACTTAATGTTTGGTCTATTTCTTAAAGGAAGCAGAACACTAGCGTTCTTGTTTATTTTACAGCGGACAATAAAGCTGCTGACGATTTAATAGTCGGTTTGATTTTCAATCCCCTCCAATTGCATCGAACAATGTCGACACATATGCCTTTTTCTATTTCTAAACAAAAAAAAATTGGTGACGCAATTGCCGTGATGTTTGTAACAAATGTGCATCAAATTTGGGATAAAAGGTTGTAGTTGAACGAGGAATTGTGCAGCGACCTTACCTGCCATGGACTGCCAGAGCAACGATACCGGTACTTTCCACCAGTTTAGCAAAAGCGATTGTCTCTTCAATCTTCAGAGATGAATAAGAAGTCACACAGCCGGAGAGTAAGTAATTTTTAAGGCCTAGCTAGGGACTAAAAATGTTAATTGCCTATTTTACAGCTGTATTGACTTTTCGTCACAGTTGGGTATACTTTCCGTAATTCTTTAAGCACTTACTTATGAATACAGTTTTTGTATTTCTTGCCATTTTGCTTGATTGTCAATTTGGTGTGTTTTATCATCGTTAAAGATTCCTTACATGTTTACTGTACAATGTACGTCCACTTTGAATTCTTATGCTACCGTGAAATGAGAAGTAAACTGTCCCTTAACCAACCGAGAAAATGAAGTTGGAGATGACGAAAGAGGTCTGTCAAAGAGGTCTGAGATCGTATTGAATCTTTGAGCCCCAGATTTCTTTCAGGTTCCTTTACAATTACTTACAGCTATTAAATCACAAGGCCAACATAACAGCATCATACAATGGTAATTCCTTCACTTCAAAATGATTTTGAAGACCTCAAAATGACTGATGGTATTAAAACTATTTTCCATAAATGTTTAGAACAGACAGACGTACCGTGGGCAAAATTCGTATTTTGCATGTCACTGGCTTTGAAACTCCTTGCACAAGTGTTGTAAGGATCTGCAAGAAATTAACACCATTACATGTACATGTTCATGTAATGTGACGGAAGCAATACTTGAAAGAAGTGATTAGATTAAATTCACTCTGAAATACAAATTCAAAGGTGTACATGTACATTGTAATATAAGTTTCACAAAGTCACAGTGACAAGGCTTCAAAAGCGAATTAATAATTTACATTTGCCCATCAATATAAGTACAATAATTTTATGTTTTTGAATTTTGAACATTTTACACTATTCAGTGGAATGTGATCTCGGCAAGCTGCAATGAACTTTTCAAACACTTCTCAAGTTATCGTTCAATGATACAATACATGGTGCTTTTGAAAGTAACACAGCCTAAAATGTCATCAGTCTGTACTCACCTTGTAAACATTCTCTGGTTGAGTTAACAGAGCTGCTCCCATTCCTCCCTGCAATGAAAATCCAACACTTTAAATTGTCAATAGACAGAGTCACAGCCTAACATTCCAACATTTGGAACACCATGAATCTTCAAGTCTGTTTGTGCTTAGTCCTCTTCATCAGTTTTATTATTAAATTTCTCAAAATTTTAAGCAAGTGGACAACAGCAGTTAAAAGGATACACTGTACACTTCCAATTGAAGACATCTTCTACTCACCAGGTCATGAATAACATTGTCTGGACATGATTTTCAATAATATTCAAATTACAAATAAATTTAACTCCAATGCAGGGTAGGAAAAAAATTTTGTAATCCAGTTGCCCAGTGGGCCTGAGTACATTTCAGTTTTCAGTTGCCACCCAATAGGTGTGGCATGCAATGTTCATGCCTGATCAACTACATCATTTACCATGTCCTTTATTAGTACTGCCAGACTTCTCTAGTGCCGAACATCCAATATGGCAGCCAACATGGTGATCAGATGGTGAATGCAAGCATAGTATGCTTGGATTTTAAATGAATCTATGCTTTCAATTCATTGTTTAGCTCATCTCTCAGTCTTAAGTTTTGAAATTGTTTTTGATTGGAAATTATCACTAAGACTACTGAGGCTAATTTCACTGGCCCACTGGACATCCAAGCTTCCAGATTCACTTGCCCAAGAGCCAAATTTACTTGCCCCAGGCAACTGGACCTGGGTTTTTTCCTGCCCTGCAATGAGTTCAATATTATCTTGTTTACCTTCACTGAATAATCTTTAGGACAACCCATGTTGACATCAATTCCAGCCACATCATTTTCCCTTTAACACAATTGACCAAATAAACTTATAAAAAAGATTCATCCTCACATATGAAAGGAGTAAAGGCCTTATGGTTTGTGCATTGGATTCTGGGTCAAGCAGTCTGGGTTTGAGCCCTGGCTGGGGTCACTGTACTGTATTCTTGGGCAACACACTTAACTCTCACACTGCCTCTCTTCTTGCAGGAGTATAACAATTGGTTGCAGTGAATTTACTGCTAGGGGTAGCCCTGCAATAGACAACAGAGCATCCCATCCAGGGGGAGGGGAGAGTAGAATGAAGTGAGCAACACCATTGCTCAGTTCATTCTGTAGAAACCAGAGATAAGCTCTGGTTCAAATGCTGATTATTATGTCATGATGACATTTTGGTTTCAGTTTCTCTAAACAGACGTTTCTATAATGGCAACAAAGACCAGATCAAGGCATCATTGATCTGCAAGATATTTTGTAATACCCAAACTCTTCAATAATACAAGTAGTCGTTTTTTTAAATTATTATCAATACATGTAACTATTGATCACTGAGTATGTTTTCCACAATTAAAACAAGGCCTTAAACTTAACTTGACTACTAGTTACCATTTTGTAGGCTGCTGTATTAATTACTACAGTATCATGTACTTTCATTTAGGTATAAAATTTATGATTTACTATATTAAGTTACTTACACAAGTTTCGCAGCTTTCAGAGCTCTTTCTGGATCTGCTGTACCCTAGATAACAAGAAAACAAAAACCTGATTGTAGTGATTGACATTGACAATTTGCAAATTCAAAATTAATGATAAGGTTGAGCTAAAAATAATCAGGCACAGCACACAAATTTCATCCCCAGTTTGGCTCAGAAGCATGGTCAATTTTCATTTTAAAATAATATCAACTTAAAAAGAGATATAATTTATTATGCTAACTAGCACTGTATAAATGAAATAAGAGTTAATATTCTAAGTTGCAAGCCACAAACCATTTGGAAGACAACATGTGGTTTTTCTGCTTCACAAGTCCTAAACACCACTGTCCCATCAGTGAGAACAAAATCGATTGTGCCAAGAATGTCTGACAAGAACAAATAATGCACAAAACAAAAACTTATCTTTCCATAATAATATTGTTCAATTGATGGAACAATCATAACCAAATTGAGGCTTGAACTGATTTAACCGAAATATTTTTTGGGGGGAAGTCCTTTGGCAGCTTTTTCACATGATACATTGTAGTCTTGTTACAGTGTACATGTAGTTAGAGCTAGTGTCTTTGTGATGCCAATATTGCATTAGTGTTAGAGACAAAACTGCCAATATGGCAACCACATTTTATGAGAAAATGGAGGGAATTACTTGTTTAATTCACTTACTGTTTTCAATACGTGTTGTCTTGAGAATTTTGAAATCAATTATCTCCTAAAAATAGAAGAAAATTGTTTAACATGCATGTATTTTTGTGTCACAGTATTGAGCCAGTCATAAAGAATGGAGGGGTACATGCTCTAAGGGGCATTATAGGTAATCAGGGCAAGATTGCAAAGAAACAAAGTGGCAAAATATATGTTTTCTTCATATTTCCATGCTGAGTTTCATTTTCAAGAAGAAACTTTTACTGTAAATAGACAGACCCCTTTTCTACATTTACTAGAAGTGTTTTTCAGTCAATTGAGCTAGGCATTAGCCTACTTATCAGAGTAACAGAGATGTTATTTTTGTGGCTTAAGCGGTTAAGACTTCATCAAATCATTTGGTTTTAACCATAAAAAAATTCCTACGCCCACAACAATCACTTGATCGGCTCAAAAATGCTGGTAAACCTAGAGCAGGGGTTTCTGTCTACGTTTTATGTTTGGTCTCCAAATGTGAAATCAGAACAGAAATATAAAGATAAACATTTGTTTTATGGGTCTGTTTCTTTGCTGTGGCTATACTACAATGTATGTCCAGCAGCCAGACAAGCCTTTTAATATATTCCATGTCGGGCATAATAACAAAAATAACACTGCAGCAGGCAACCTCAAGAAGAATCAAACCTGGGTCGCCAGCATGGCAAGCAATACTCATGACCACTGCACCACCACAACTGGCTAACAGTTTCCGGAATTTTTTAAGTATATATAGTGTTACCGTAAGCATTATAGAGAGTGTTCATTGTCGTGCAATAAAAACTAAAATCAAAAACCATTCAGTGGATAAAGTCAAGAAATTGTGATGTTATAGACGATAAATAAAGAAGACAGTTCTCCTAGTTTAAGGTGTATGCGTTATCCCAAAGTTGACATATTCATC